TTTTGAAAAAGCAATGAAGAATAAGCAGAGTTTCTTTTGAAAACAAAAATAACTTTTATTTCTGTTCATTTGCGCAGATGCGAAGAAGGTGATCGACTGTATGCGTGTATGCTGGCCGCTTTGTCGGTTGTGTCTCAAAGAACAAATATAAAGTAAAAGAAATACTTACTATCACTTAAAATAATAAAGAAAAGAATAAGAGGTATAGAGGTTATAAGTATCACTATTTATATAAGAGCAAAGAAAAGTAAAAAAGATAAATGACTGGAATTGGCAACCGAAGAAATTCTTTTCAATTTTCTCTTATTATATGCAATCGTCTCTGCTGTCTTGATAGAAACTTTCTCTCATAGTAGTTTAATTTCAGAACCTACTTCTTGTATAAATACGTAGCCAGAGAAAAGAAGAAATAAGGTACATTATCACTGAATACACTGCTTATCTTTGAGTGATATTAGGTGAATTGGTATTGCTCTCAACAGGTTCAACGCAGAACAGAATTACAGAACACTTTTCTTAAGATGTCAAAGAACCGTTTCTGAGAGGGAAAAATTTAATAGAACTTCTGGTTTTTATCTAATTGAAATTAATGCCTTTATAAAGCAAAAGCGAGAGCAAAGATGTGCAGTCTACTTGAATTTTCTCATAAATATTCCGTAATATCATAACCAACATTCTCAACAGGTGACAGCTACTGCCAGTTGATTTCAAAATTCAGTTATAATTGATGTATGTTAATTTAAAATGGCAGATTATAGCTGCGTTTAGTGTATCACAAGAACCAGTTTTAGAAACTTGAACAAATTTAATGCTTTTGTTAACAATTAAACTTTTTGACTGTAAAATGAGAAACTGGCATTATGTACGACAGGTTGCCTCGCAAGGTTTAATGTAAATAAAGGTTTTCTTGCTTAGTTTGATCAATACTGTTTACAAAATTTTTCAAAGTTTTGTGTTAATTCTGAAGCCATAAAGATTTACTATTATAGGTTCTTTTAAGTACTGCTAAAAGGTAAGCTAAAAATTTCACTGGTTTTTTCATTGGCATATCTTTACCGTAATTCACGAACGCTACCTCACACTATTCTTCAGCTTTACGGTGTATAACTTTTTGCTTAGTATCAAATTTTGTTAATTTTTATGAGACAAGTTATTTTTTGGGTACTATAAGTGTAAAAGTTAAAAATGATTTTGCGTGAATGTTTATTCTGTACTCTGTACGCTCAATATTTTCCCCTGTATCAGTTTCCTCTGATCTAACTTTGGCCTTCAAATATGCTTTTTCCACAAACAATTTTGCCAAAAAAATTTTTTTTCAAACAGTTACTTTATCAAAAAGTTATCTATCACCTTTACATTTAACTACCTTTTCACTTCAAATTGTAAATCAGCTTAGATTACTGCATTGTTAAGTGATATTAAACATTTACAGAATAGGTTTAAGTATTTTCCATATATCAATTACCCTGTTACAGTTAATTCTATGTTAACCATTTGTATTTATAATTGGATAAAGTAAAAACCATCATCTCATTTTAATAGGAAGAATAAAGAGTTTAAAAGTGATGCAGTTTGATGCCGTACCTAACTGGAAAAAGCTTGTCATCTAAACGTTTTTTATGTTTAAGTTTTTCATGCACTACAGGGATAAATATGTCGTTGGCTATCACTTCGAATATTTATAAGAAAAATTTGCATTTACAATTTATAATTTTATTTGCTGCTGTTATGGTAATTTGATTATTTTCTACGCAAGCGATAATTTTGGTTTAGTCATCTGTTTAATTATTGTTGTATATATGTTCTTGAAAATTGACTACTGGAGCCCTTCTATGTGTTACTTTATTTGCACTTTATTTGTTATATTAGACCTTCATTACTTGC